CTTCCCTTATTGCAATCATCCGTAATCTGGAAGGGGGCTTCAGACTTCCAATGGCCTCCTCCCCCAAATGCCAAAGGCCCTACTAGGCAGGTCAGAACAGAGCTAGTTCTGCTTCACAGACCCACTGTGGGTGGTCCTAGAGTACAGCAGTTAAACACATGATTTTAGAACTAGTCAGAATTGGGTTTGAGTCCTGGCTTCGCCTCGTAAAGGCTGTGTGACTTTGGGCAAATGACTAAACATCTCTGAGCCTTTGTGTGCCCAGAGGAATAATGGTATTTGACTCAGAGTGCTGGGTAAAGGGCCAGGTACTTGAAAGGGCTTGATATATGGCAGGTGTTATTTTGAAGGAATAAGGGCAGTTTATCCTCCAAAGTCCAAAGAGGTGATACCCCGAAGAGCATCTCTTTGCACTGTGAAGATGCTGCCTTTAGTAATCATATTTTGGCAGTTATTATTATTATTAAATTTTAATTTAAAAGCGTATAGTAGAGACAAAGTCTCCTTATGGTGACCTTCAGGCTGGTCTTGAAATACTGGGCTCAAGGGATCCTTCCGCCTTGGCCTCCCAAAGTGCTCAGATTACGAGTTTGAGCCACCGTGCCTGGCCTTAGCAGCTATTTTTTATTGAGTACTTAATATGTGTCAGTCACTGTTCCAAGGGCTTCATGAGTTTTAACTCATTTAATGAGTTAATCCAGACAACTCAATAGATCAATGAGACAGGTACTCTTATCACCTCTATATTACAAATGAGGTCACTGAGGCATACAGCACCTATGTAAGTCACCCAAAGTCCTACTGCTGCTACAACGCAGATCTAGGACTCAAACCCAGCTGCCTGGCTCACATCTGGCACCTTTAGCTGCCAGCCTGCTACATCTGAGCCCTGCTCCAGCCCTGCTCCAGACCCGCCTGGTCCCCGATCACTTGGGCACAGGGATCCACTCCATATCTGAAAGCACCCTGGCTTCGGAATCAGCCCCAGTTTCCTCATCTGAACAAAAGGGGGCCTGAAGGAGTCAACCTCTGTGGGCCATGAGAGTGGGTAATTCACACTGTGCATTAAGGCATATTTCAAACTGGAGTAAAAGTTTCTGGTGGTGAAGTGTTGCTGTCTCTTTTGCAAGTGGGCAGGGGGCTGGCCGGGGCTCTCGCAACATGCGGTGAAGCCCCGTGGGGCCTGTCTAGACAAGCTTTTAGCAGGCGGCAGCTCTTTCCCCCAAATTCCTGCAACTCACCCTCCCAGGCGACCTCTGATTGGATCCTGGCCACTGCATACTGCTGAGCTGGGGGAGGACCACATAGGCAGTGCCCATTCCCATCCCAGGGCCTTTGTAAGTGTCCTGATTATGGTATTCTGCAACTTGTGCATGGAGGGCAAAGTTCTAGACACCTTCGTGCACAGGAGTATAGCAACCAATAGAAGACAAACCTATGTTTTTATTTCCATGTATTCCTTACATTTTTTACTATACAAATTTGATACATGCAAAATAAAGTGTGCAACCCACATGCTTCAAGAAATCTGATGACTTCAAGTGTGGTCAAGGGGAGGGGGACGCTCACATATTGCTGATGGGAGCATAACCTGGTTCAGCCACTTTGGAAAGCAGTCTTGTGCTCTCCTGTAAAGCTGACAGGCCTGCACCCCAGGACCCAGAACCCCTTCTAGGTGTCAGCTCCAGAGAGACTCTGGCTTATGGGTAGCAGGAGACGTGGAGAAAAATGGTCATCACAACAATTCCAAACAACCTTTGTCACGGTTGTTTGAAACACCCCACGGCGCTGAACCCCTGGGACAGTTTAGTTGGAAAATTGCAGGAAGAGGCCATGCCCAGGCACAGCTCAGCAACGAGGACCTCAGCACCTCCCTGAACCCCTCAGGCTCACCCAGGAATCAGACACAGCCACTTGAGTCAGTGATGATGTATGGTATGAGGCCTGGATCTTTCTATTCCTCAACGATAGGTGTTGGCTGGGAGTGGTAACTCATGCCTGTAATCCTAGCACTTTGAGAGGCTGAGACTGCAGGATTGCTTGAGCCCAGGAGTTTGAGACCAGCCTGGACAACAGGGCGAAACCGCATCTCTATAAAGAATACAAAAAATTAGCCAGGCAGGGTGGCACACACCTGTAATCCCAGTTATTTGGGAGGCTGAGGTGGAAGGATCACTTGAGTCTGCGAGGTGGAGTTTGCAGTGAGCTGAGAAGTGTCACACACTCTAGCCTGGGTAACAGAGTGAAACCTCATCTCAAAAAATAAAAAAAAAGGATAGGTGTCAGTGTCCCTTTCCCCCAGAATTGGCCAGGCTGGGAAGGGGCTGATTTTGCCCAAAGGGCTGTGGTGTGGCTCTGAGGGATCAGTGCAGGGCAGCAACAGGGTTGAAGGGAGAGGAATGGCCTCAGAGCTCGAGGACGGGCTCAGGCTCCGGCAGGGCCTCCTTCCTGGCCTCCATCTCCTCTGTGAGGTGGGATTCGTCATCACCGCCCTCATAGGTGTCAGGGTGGGCAGCCCAAGGGTGTGCGTTCTGCAGATGCGTAGACTGGGTTGAAATCCCCTTTGCCGCTTTTTAGTTGTGTGACATTGTGTGAGCTGCAGTGGTTTCCTTCTCTAGAAAGTGAGAGTGATGGAATGATGCTGATTCCTGCCTCACAGGAATTCCCAGGACGGTGAAATCATAATGCAAGCTGTCAGCACAGAATCGGACTCCTGGGAAGTTTACCACACATGTTCTGCCCTGTTCCATGAGGTCCGTTGGAGGGTCCTCGGGAAGTTTTGAGGTAGCTAAAAGGCAGGGCAGGAGGCGGGAGACTTCTAGGGGAGCTAGCACCCCCAGGGGCAGGTGGCACACACAACTTAATAACTCATGAGCTGTGTGACCTCAGGTACCTCATCTGTGGAGTGAGGATAATAATTGCCCCTTCCTCACTGGCTCTTGTGAGGATTAAATGAATGAGTTCATGTGAAGATCTTAGGTGATGCCTGGACCTCATGAGAACTCCACAAATGATGTAACCTAATTCTCCTGATTTGTACCACCTGATGGAATCCCTGGCTGGGCAGAGAGGCAGGTTCTGTTCCAGCTCTGCCGTCAGCTCGCTAAATAACCTAACGCGGTGCTTTCTCTCTGTGGCTTCCATTGCCTCGGCTGTTTGTGAGAGTCCTAAGCTGCCCTATGGCCTGGCATTCCCCAAACTTCCATGTGCATGGGCATTCATGGGGATCTTGTAATGCAGATTCCTAGGCCCCACCCAGGGTCCCCTTTCAGCAGGTGAGTGCGTAGTGGTTCAGATACATTGCCCCCACAATGCCCCAGAAAGGCAGGAAAGGAGACCTCAGATAGTCCTTCAGGCATCTCAAGCAGGTCACTTTCCTGCGTCCTGCAGCCTCTGACTTCCGATTCCTCCTGCCTCTTTCCAGAGCCTGTTGTCTCTACAGCAACTCTGGGCTTTCCCTGGCTGGGTCTCATTCCCACTTCACCCCCAACATAGCTCAGGGCATCTTGCCCGCAGGAGGTGTGGTCTCTGACTTCTGTGTAACATCGACCCCATTCATCTTGCTTTATCTGCTTGCATCCCTCGTCCTCATGACAGCCCCACAAGCTCAGAACTGTGCCCCTTTTACAGAGGAGGAAGCTGAGGCTCAAACGGCAAGCAGCTTGCCCAGAGTTACTTGTCCAGTGAGTAAACAAGCCCAGAATTGGACCCAGGCAGTTGAATTCAGAGCCTCCTTCTGAACCATGATGGTCTTGGGCCTTGTGTGACAAGAAGCAGGAAGGTGAGGGCACCAGACAGAGGCTGGTGCTGGAGGACTGTGTTCTGTTCTGGGCTTCGGACGCGGCCAGAGTGTGTTTAGAGGAACCCGACTCCACATTGCCTGTACGTCTTCAAGTTCTAATCCCAAGCTTCTGCCTCTACCCAGCCCTGCCTCCCATCACAAGCCTCCTGCCTTCCTCTGAGCCCCTGCCCACCGCTTCATCCCCCTGAAGCTCTCTGCTGTCTTTTCCATCCCTTTCCTACTTCCATGTCCCGCACCTCTGTGTGGCTGAATCTAGAGATCAGCCCTCTCCCCACCAGAGGCTGGTTGCAGCCAAGCTCATCTGGAGGCCTCGGGGCACTGCCTGGCCAAGCCTGCAGCCACAGAACCTTCAGCTCTGGCTCAGCCCCCAAAAGCTCCCACAGGGCTTCATCTGCTTGGACTCCAAGCTTGTGGTCAAAGGGCAGACTCGGCTCAGGGACCTCCTGGGAGAACTTCCCAACACTGGCTGTCCCTCAGGCACAAACAACCCAGAAGCCACATCTGCAGAGGGACCATTTTGTCCAATGGCCTTGCTATACAGACAGGGAAACTGTGGCCCAGAGAGGGGAGGGGCCATCTCCAGGCCACAGAGCCAGGCGTTGAGGGCAGAGCTGGGGCCGGAGCCTAAGTGCATGGGTCTCCTCTCACCAGCACCCCTTCCCACTGCTCCACGTGCAGTCAGCGCCCCAGCCTTCCCAGGATATCTGTCTGCCTGCCAGAGCCAGGGCTTACAGTGCCTTGTCCCCAGCTTTGTTTCTTGAAACTGTTATTTGAAAACCATTTTCCTAGCCAGGAGCCCCAAGCTCTTGGAACTGCAAAATCAAAGCGCCATACAATACAGAAGAAGCACTGCCCACGTAGAAGCCAGGGAGACTGCCCCAGACCCGGGCACAGTGGTGAAGCTTGGGCTGATAGGATGTTAACTCTGTCCGCTCTCTCTGCTCCTTAATTCCCCCATTACCTACAGCAACTAGGAATCCTAGAAGCCACCAAGACCACAGAATTAGAGGCAATCAGCTAGATGGATGCTTAGAGATCAGCTCCTGTACAGATGAGGAAACTGAGACCCAGAGATTCTGTGTCCAGAAAGGCACAGAGCCACTTAGCAAGAGAGCAAGACCCCCAGATGTAGCATCCCCCTGGAGAAATGTCCCAGCAGCCCCCATCCACGGATCCCAGGCCTGTCGCTGGTGCTTACCTTTCCTGGGGTCTGGTCCAGGTGTGACTCCTTGGGGCCTGGAGATGGGAGCCAGCCTGTGTGGGGAGTGGTTGAGGGTGTCACTGCTTCTCAACTAATTTGACCCAGACTCTGGTGCCCCTCACTGCCACAGGGGCATTTTTAAGCAGCTGGCACTGAGCCCCCCTCCCCTTAGTCCCTTGCCTGCAGCTCCCTGGCCACAGAGGCCACTCTGCCTTTTACCTTATATGAGCTGGAGAGGCAAGCCCCGTGTTGGGGCGAGGCGGGTGCGGAGCCCTCCCAGGGCCCCCCATTGGCCCAGGCACCCCCCACGTGACTACCTCGCCTTGACCTGCCCCCGGTGCTGAATGTTGCTTTTACCCCCTAAGGAAGGAGTGGTTGACAATTTTCATATTTCTTCTAAATTTGGAGATTTCAGACAATGCTGGGAGGCTTGGCTCCAGCCGCCAGAGGCCCATGTGGAAGTCATTAAGCCCAAGAAGGGGGGCAGGGGGAGAGAGGGAGGCAGGAGAGGAGGAGGAGAAGGAGGAGGAGGAGGAGGAAGGGGGTGGGGAGCAGAGTTCTGAGGGTTGCCAGTTGTCAGCCTGGGAACAAGAGCAAACTCCCTGGGAGAAAGCTGTGTGAGAATTTCCTTCCTCTCCCCCAGCCCCTGCGTCCCATCCCGGGGCTGCAGTGGGAGTTTTGAGGCTTTCTGAGAACCTCCTGTGGGGGAGACACCAGCCATGGCTCCTGGAATCTGGGTGATGGGAATGGGAGGGGACAGGAGAACATGGGGAAGGAGAGCCCGGACCCTGGGAAGCCACCCCCATCCTCACGCAGCAAATGAGGCCTGGGCCTGCCAGGGAAGATCCTGACCCAGCCACCTGGCAGGTTCGCCACAGGGCAGGGGCTTGAATTTGGAACGTCCTTAAGGGAGCTCTCTTTTCCCCACCATTGCAGTTCTGAGAAACGCCCGCCCGTCTCTTGCCATAGGCCCTTTCTCCATTGGCTCTGCCGTCTTGGCCTCCTACAGATTCTTTCGTGTTTTTCATGCCTCAGGGCTTTTGCACTTGCATTTCTCGCTGCCAAAAATGCCTTCTTCCCAGAGCTTCTCGTGGCTGCCCCCTCCCCCCCCCCCGCCCCCGGCTCAGAAGCCCCCCTGGGAGAGCCATTTCCCGGCCCCCTCGGTATTCTGTCGCACCCTCTGCTGGCTTGCCTCTCAGGACTCGCCACCCGTGTGCCTGTCTTCCACATCCACGGCTCTAGTTTCCTGCTGGCCAGCTCTCTCATGAGAGTGTGGCTTTGCCGGGCAGCCTCTGTGTCCCCAAGCTTCCTACAGTGTCTGTGAAAAAGGTCAGAAAAGACAAATGGAGCGATTACGTGAACCAGGCCTCAGCTGCCAGCCTAGGAGTGTTGTGCTGAGGCCCAGGGAGGGCTCCTCCCAGGGGCCAGCGGGGCCGCCACCAGTCCTGCCCTCTGTTGCTCACAGCTTCCCTTCTGCCACCAGGCCTGCTGGACCCCAGCTGTCTCTGTTCACAACCTCATTCACTGTTCCTCAGACCCCAGCCTGGGTGGGCCTGCCACCCCGTCTCTCCTCCTTCCAGGCCACAGGCTGTGGTCTGCCCATCACCAACCCGGGGCAGCACACGGGCTCATGACACCCTGAGTGCGGCCAGTTAACGGCCCGAGGGGGTGGGGTGCGGAATCAGACACTGCCCCTGACCTTCAGAGGCTCCCAGTTCAACGGGAGGATTAAAAATGCCACACCCTTACCCCTCCACCCTCCCTCACTCCTTCCGAGGAAACATTTCTTGGTGTTGAGAGGCCGGTGGGCTTCTTCCTGCCTTGCCAATTCCTGGCTGTGAGGTCTGGGCAGGTTATTTAACTGCTGCTCCCAGCCTCCCTGTCCTCCGTTCCTCCCTTTCCTGCTGGGTAAAATGGCAAGAATCACACCTGCCTTCAGCATCGCCATGAGGGCTGGGCGAGAGGGCCTGTGCGGTGTTGGGGAAGGCATGAGCAGGACTGGAGTCAGGCTTGGGCTCAGCCCTGCCCCTCTGCTCCCCACCGTGGGGCTGGGGAAAGGCCTCTGCGAACTGACTTCCATGAAGATCACTGTCTCTTCTGTAGCATGGAGTGAAGAACGGCGGGGACAGTGGTTGTGAAGGTTTAGCCCCGAGCCTGCTTCGGAGTGAGTGCTTGATCCATGTAGGATGACTCACAGTTGTGGTGCAAGAGCCTGGCATGGAGGTTTTGCTGATCATATCATCCTCTTCTTTTCCAAACCAAGAAGATGGATTCCATTCGCGTGCATGCCCTGGGGTGCAGGTCGGAGATGGTGGGACAGGGAAGGCTGTGACCCCACTCCCCACCCCTGCACAATGGCCCAGTCCAACACTCCAAAGCACCTCCAGCAGATTCCAGAGGGAAGATAAAGCCGGCCCAACAGAAACATTGCGTTTATGTAAAGTCCACTCTGAAGGTTGTGAAATGTAAGTTATGCTTCTGTCAGTGCTGCTACTGTATAAACAGTAGAGAGTTCGTCTTCAAGAACAAAGACAAAAACTAGCAGCGCGAGCTGTGGAGAGACCCCCATCATTTCAGTGCCCGAGAACTCTGCACCTGGCCGAGGGCTTTGGGCTATACCCGTGAGTCCACAGGCAGAAAGCCCGTAGCGAGAGCATGAGACGAGGAGCCGAAGTGGCCTGGAGACAGGTCCTTGAGCATCAGGAGGGAGCTGTTCTGGCACCAAACTACCTGCAAAGGGGAAGTAAATGGCAGCCGTTTGTGACTCAGTGTCCATAAATCTGTCTCAAATATTTGGAAGCAGTTTTTATTTCCTGCCCATACTATCTCTTGGGAGTCATGAACACTTTACATTATGAACCGCTCACTGTGTGAAGTGGCTTTTCTTTCCAGACAGGGAGAGTCAGCCTTGAAATCGCTCCATTCCCAGAGAAAACAGGTTTACAGACTGCGGCTCGGGATGTGTGAGTAAGGCTTCTTGGGAGGTGAAGGGCAGTTCCTGTTAGGAGCCGGGCATGAGAGTGAGTTTGCATCGGGGAGTCCTGTGTTTTCAGAGGGTGTGTTTAGTCAAGGCAGGGGGCCCCATCCACGAGAGTTAGGGAACTGGAGAATGGAGGACTCATGGGCCCTGGGAGAGCTGGCTCTACTTCTCCACAGAGTGACTCAGGAAGACCTTGAATCAGTACAGCTGGAACCTTTAGGAAGATGGAATCTAGACCCAGACAGGAAATACTTTTGTGAGCTAACAGGCTGTCTTGGTAAAGTGCTGAGTTCCCCGTTACTAAGGGAATGCAAGCAGAAGATGGACAACTTGGCAAGTCTCTTCCAGCCCTGAGATCCTAGGGACTTTACTTCACCCTTTCTGTTCTCACCTCCCAAACGTGTCCCTTAATCGCCAAACCTGACTTCACACTAATTCTTCCCAGAGGGCTCAGCTCAATCTCATATTGAAAAGGCCCCTAACCCCTGAGTTAAAAATCAAGCTCCATATATTGTCTTCAATAAACCTAAAATGTTTTTTCGTTGTTGGTAGAGGTGGTAGGTGGGAGGGCGGAACGTAGTTCAACTAGTGATGAAATGCCCATAATTATTTGCCTTGCAATCCAACCATTTTCTCAAAAACATCATACCATAGAAAGCTGTCCACACGGCTAGGCGTGGTGGCTCACACCTGTAACCCCCACACTTTGGGAGGCTGAGGTGGGAGCATCTCTTGAGCCCAGGACTTTGAGACCATCCTGGACATCATGGTGAAACCCTTCTCTACAAAAAGTACAAAAAATTAGCTGAGCATGGTGGAGTGTGTCTGTAATCCCAGCTACTTGGGAGGCTGAAATGGGAGGCCCACTGGAAGCAGAGGCTACAGTAGGCCGAGACTGCATCACTGCACTCCAGTCTGGGCGTGCAGACTCCTTGTCACAAAACAAAACAAACAAATGAAAACTGTCCACAACTGGCTATTGAGGTTTTTTTTTTTTTTAGCGTGATATTAAAGAAGATAAATTGGGCCAGGCGCGGTGGCTCATGCCTGTAATCCCAGCACTTTGGGAGGCCGAGGCGGGTGGATCACGAGGTCAAGAGATCGAGACCATCCTGGTCAACATGGTGAAACCCCGTCTCTACTAAAAATACAAAAAATTAGCTGGGCATGGTGGCACGTGCCTGTAGTCCTGGCTACTCGGGAGGCTGAGACAGGAGAATTGCCTGAACCTAGGAGGCGGAGGTTGCGGTGAGCCGATATCGTGCCATTGCACTCCAGCCTGGGCAACAAGAGAGAAAATCTGTCTCAAAAAAAAAAAAAAAAAAAGAAGATAAATTGTATATAATCCCATTTAAGTCAAACGATGTGTACATCTGTCCTCTGTGTGTCAGGAGAGGGTAGGTGTGAGGGTCGTTGGTGCTTTCTCTCTTCCCTAGTCTACTGCACAGACAAATGGCAGAGGAGGGTGGATTGACTCATTGTCCTGGGAGAAGGATGTAACACACTTTTTGTGTTGATCGCTGTGTGGGTGTTTCTGGGAAGAATGGTTATGGGAAGGGGAACAAAATGATGTAGCCCAGTCCTCCGAAATCTTTACGACCTGCCTGGCATGAAGTGGGAAAGGCTTGCATTGAAGGGCCTGGGTGGTCGGCTTGGAGCCCTTCTCTGGTCTAGGGGGAACACTGGGCTTCCACCACTGTGGCTGCTTTGGGAGTAGTGAACCTGACTGACAAGTGGGAGTATTACTCACTAAGATTAGCTTCTGGTCACTTATTGAAGTCCTTCTACCATGGTCAGTGCATTGAAACAGGACCACATGGAACTGGACACCACCTCCGTCCAAGACGCCTGGAAGGGAACCCTCTGTGTGCAAGAGGGAGGTAGTGAGAGCCGTGTAGAGAGCAGCAGCGCTGCTTGTTGGACTTCTTGCTATCACCAGCACATGGGGCTTGAACATTTGAAGTCTTGAGGAAAACCAGGCCACACTAATTGAACCCTGAACTGTGCAGGGGAACACATGTGACTGTGCATGTGACTGCACATGTGTGTCAAAATGCCCTGTTCAATGTGTGAAACAATGTTCAACAAAATAAGAACAGGTTATCTCTAGGTGGTGGAAATTTGGAGTGATTTGGACTTACTCCAGTATAGTCTTCTGTATTCGATTTTTGTCTTGATTTCTATTGGGCATTTCTTGTTTTTAGCGATTAGAAGAAAAGGCAATTATCACATTTACTTATTTATTTGAGAGGG